ACGACGCACGACCTCCAGCCCACGCGGTTGCTCGCGTTGCACCGGTACAGCCCCGAGTGGCTAACACTCACGTCCCTGATGCGCAGCGTTCCTCCTGCGCTCAACAAGCGGAAATATCCCACCGCCCTCCTGTGGGTCTCTATGCGAGACTATGGGTCTCTGTGTGAGTCTGTGGGTCTCTATGCGAGACTATGGGTCTCTGTGTGAGTCTGTGGGTCTCTGTGTGAGACTATGGGTCTCTGTGTGAGACTATGGGTCTCTGTGTGAGTCTGTGGGTCTCTGTGTGAATCTGTGGGTCTCTGTGTGAGTCTATGGGTCTCTGTGTGAGACTCTGGGTCTCTGTGTGAGTCTGTGGGTCTCTGTGTGAGACTCTGGGTCTCTGTGTGAGTCTATGGGTCTCTGTGTGAGACTCTGGGTCTCTGTGTGAGTCTGTGGGTCTCTGTGTGAGACTCTGGGTCTCTATTAGAGTCTATGGGTCTCTGTGTGAGTCTATGGGTCTCTGTGTGAGTCTGTGGGTCTCTATGTGAGTCTATGGGTCTCTATGGGTCTCTATGCGACACTACGGGTCTCTATGTGAGTCTATGGGTCTCTATGCGAGACCACGGGTCTCTGTGTGAGTATATGGGTCTCTGTGTGAGTCTATGGGTATCTGTGTGAGTCTATGGGTCTCTGTGTGAGTCTATGGGTATCTGTGTGAGTCTGTGGGTCTCTGTGTGAGTCTGTGGGTCTCTGTGTGAGTCTATGGGTCTCTGTGTGAGTCTGTGGGTCTCTGTGTGAGTCTATGGGTCTCTGTGTGAGTCTATGGGTCTCTGTGGGAGTCTGTGGGTCTCTGTGTGAGACTATGGGTCTCTGTGTGAGTCTATGGGTCTCTGTGTGAGTCTATGGGTCTCTGTGCGAGTCTATGGGTCTCTGTGCGAGTATATGGGTCTCTGTGGGAGTCTGTGGGTCTCTGTGTGAGACTATGGGTCTCTGTGTGAGTATATGGGTCTCTGTGTGAGTCTATGGGTCTCTGTGAGTATATGGGTCTCTGTGTGAGTCTATGGGTCTCTATGTGAGTCTATGGGTCTCTGTGTGAGTCTGTGGGTCTCTGTGTGAGTCTGTGGGTCTCTGTGTGAGACTATGGGTCTCTGTGTGAGTCTATGGGTCTCTGTGTGAGTCTATGGGTCTCTGTGCGAGTATATGGGTCTCTGTGTGAGTCTATGGGTCTCTATGTGAGTCTATGGGTCTCTATGTGAGTCTATGGGTCTCTGTGTGAGTCTGTGGGTCTCTGTGTGAGTCTGTGGGTCTCTGTGTGAGTCTGTGGGTCTCTGTGTGAGACTCTGGGTCTCTATTATAGTCTATGGGTCTCTGTGTGAGTCTGTGGGTCTCTATGTGAGTCTATGGGTCTCTATGTGAGTCTATGGTCTCTATGTGAGTCTATGGGTCTCGTGTGAGTCTGTGGGTCTCTGTGTGAGTCTGTGGGTCTCTGTGTGAGACTGTGGGTCTCTGTGCGAGTATATGGGTCTCTGTGTGAGTCTATGGGTCTCTGTGTGAGTCTATGGGTCTCTGTGCGAGTATATGGGTCTCTGTGTGAGTCTATGGGTCTCTGTGTGAGTCTGTGGGTCTCTGTGTGAGTCTATGGGTCTCTATGTGAGTCTATGGGTCTCTATGTGAGTCTATGGGTCTCTGTGTGAGTCTGTGGGTCTCTATGTGTGTCTGTGGGTCTCTTGGGTGTCTGTGCGAGTATATGGGTCTCTGTGTGAGTCTATGGGTCTCTATGTGAGTCTATGGGTCTCTGTGTGAGACTATGGGTCTCTATGGGTCTCTGTGTGAGTATATGGGTCACTGTGTGAGTCTGTGGGTCTCTATGAGAGTCTATGGGTCTCTGTGTGAGTCTATGGGTCTCTGTGTGAGTCTGTGGGTCTCTATGTGAGTATATGGGTCTCTGTGTGAGTCTATGGGTCTCTATGGGAGTCTATGGGTCTCTGTGTGAGACTGTGGGTCTCTATGCGAGTCTATGGGTCTCTATGTGAGTCTATGGGTCTCTGTGTGAGACTATGGGTCTCTGTGTGAGTCTGTGGGTCTCTGTGTGAGTCTATGGGTCTCTATGTGAGTCTATGGGTCTCTATGAGAGTCTATGGGTGTCTGTGCGAGTCTATGGGTCTGTGTGAGTCTATAGGTCTCTATGCGAGTCTATGGGTCTCTGTGTGAGTCTGTGGGTCTCTATGCGAGTCTATGGGTCTCTGTGTGAGTCTATGGGTCTCTATGTGAGTCTATGGGTCTCTATGTGAGTCTGTGGGTCCCTGTGTGAGTCTGTGGGTCTCTGTGTGAGTCTATGGGTCTCTGTGTGAGTCTATGGGTCTCTGTGTGAGTCTATGGGTCTCTATGCGAGTCTATGGGTCTCTATGTGAGTCTATAGGCCTCTATGTGAGTCTATGGGTCTCTGTGTGAGACTATGGGTCTCAGTGTGAGTCTATGGGTCTCTATGTGAGTCTATGGGTCTCTATGAGAGTCTATGGGTCTCTATGAGAGTCTATGGGTCTCTGTGTGAGACTATGGGTCTCTGTGGGAGTCTATGGGTCTCTATGTGAGTCTATGGGTCTCTATGAGAGTCTATGGGTCTCTGTGTGAGTCTATGGGTCTCTGTCGGAGTCTATGGGTCTCTGTGGGAGTCTATGGGTCTCTGTGTGAGAATATGGGTCTCTATGTGAGTCTAAGGGTCTCTATGTGAGTCTATGGGTCTCTATGAGAGTCTATGGGTCTCTATGCGAGTCTATGGGTCTCTATGTGAGTCTATAGGCCTCTATGTGAGTCTATGGGTCTCTGTGTGAGACTATGGGTCTCAGTGTGAGTCTATGGGTCTCTATGTGAGTCTATGGGTCTCTATGAGAGTCTATGGGTCTCTATGAGAGTCTATGGGTCTCTGTGTGAGACTATGGGTCTCTGTGGGAGTCTATGGGTCTCTATGTGAGTCTATGGGTCTCTATGAGAGTCTATGGGTCTCTGTGTGAGTCTATGGGTCTCTGTCGGAGTCTATGGGTCTCTGTGGGAGTCTATGGGTCTCTGTGTGAGAATATGGGTCTCTATGTGAGTCTAAGGGTCTCTATGTGAGTCTATGGGTCTCTATGAGAGTCTATGGGTCTCTATGAGAGTCTATGGGTCTCTATGTGAGTCTATGGGTCTCTATGTGAGTCTAAGGGTCTCTATGTGAGTCTATGGGTCTCTATGTGAGTCTATGGGTCTCTATGTGAGACTATGGGTCTCTATGTGAGTCTATGGGTCTCTATGAGAGTCTATGGGTCTCTATGAGAGTCTATGGGTCTCTGTGTGAGTCTATGGGTCTCTGTGTGAGTCTATGGGTCTCTATGCGAGTCTATGGGTCTCTATGGGTCTCTATGTGAGTCTATGGGTCTCTGTGTGAGTCTGTGGGTCTCTATGTGAGTCTATGGGTCTCTATGAGAGTCTATGGGTCTCTATATGAGTCTATGGGTCTCTGTGTGAGTCTATGGGTCTCTGTGTGAGTCTGTGGGTCTCTATGTGAGTCTATGGGTCTCTATGCGAGTCTATGGGTCTCTATGGGTCTCTATGTGAGTCTATGGGTCTCTGTGTGAGTCTGTGGGTCTCTATGTGAGTCTATGGGTCTCTATGAGAGTCTATGGGTCTCTGTGTGAGTCTGTGGGTCTCTATGTGAGTCTATGGGTCTCTATGAGAGTCTATGGGTCTCTGTGTGAGTCTGTGGGTCTCTATGTGAGTCTATGGGTCTCAACAGTCATCGTCGTCGTCATCATCATCATCGTCGTCGTCGTCATCATATCATCATCATCGTCATCATCATCATCGTCGTCGTCGTCATCATCATCATCATCGTCCATCATCGTCGTCGTCGTCATCATCGTCGTCATCATCGTCGTCATCATCGTCATTATCGTCATCATCATCGTCATCATCGTCATCGTCGTCATCATCGTCATCATCATCATCGTCATCATCATCATCATCATAGCCATCATCATCATCATCGTCGTCATCATCATCATCATCGTCATCATCATCATCATCGTCATCATCGTCATCATCGTCATCATTGTCATCATCATCGTCATCATCATCACCGTCACAGGTGGCACCCACTCAGCACGGACGGTAATGGCTCCTCTGCGCCGCCCTTGCTCCACTCGTAGCAGATGGGCGACGTCCCCTCTGCGGACTGGCACTGCAGCGACAGCTCCTTGCCCTGCTGCGCCGAACCGTTCACCACGCAGACTGGCTGGGTCGGCTTCACTGCACCAGGTGGGAGAGTGGGTGGGTGGGTGGGGGGGGTGCAGGAGCAAGGGGTCACAACAGTTCCAAGCGCTCATATTCTTGGGTTGTTTCGGTAAAGTCACGTGGGTAAAAAAAATTAAATAAATAAAAAGTAAAATAAAAATAAAATAAAAATCACGACAAAAAAAATGTACCCGTAAAAACAAAGTTTTTCACTCTAAATCCTTTATATGCGTGGCGGCTAGAGTCCTCTCGTCCTCTGGCTTGAGATGGCTGCCACCTATGGGTCACATGATTGTCTGCCAGTATTAAGCAATTGGTAATTAAATATTTAATTTGTTTTCCCTAAACAGTGTAAAATTTTGGGAATTTTTTTCACGAAAATTCATTGTCACGCACAACGAGTCTGTGTGCAAATGTCAGCTCGATTGGATCACGGGAAGTGGGTTAAAAAACGACCGAAAGATTTGCACGGTCGTAAGCAAGCAAGCAAGTGAACTTAATATAAAGGATTTAATAAAACATAATAAAATAATTCTCACGACGTTTCGGCCACAACGCAAGCAGCCGTCCTCAGGTGGAGACCAGGTCTGTCGAGGCGACAGAGTCTGAATGAAACAGCACACGTGCTTGGAGCGTGTATATATAAGCTGGGCGCCCAGCTTATATATATATGCTCCAAAGAACCAAGAAGATGAATCCCTGCAGTCACGAAAGAAGCTTTAAATCGAAATAAAAATCACAACGTTTCGGAGGCAAACACAAGCTTCCGTCTTCAGGTGGAACCGTCACAGCAAGCGCTTGCTTTTATTAATTTTACATTTTTTTCCTATCTTCTTGGTTCTTTCGGTAAAGTCACGTAGAAGGGAAGAAATAAATTATTGTGTTTATTTTTATTATTTTATTTATTACTTCCCTTCTACGTGACTTTACCGAAAGAACCAAGAAGATGAATCCCTGCAGTCACGAAAGAAGCTTTAAATCGAAATAAAAATCACGACGTTTCGGAGGCAAACACAAGCTTCCGTCTTCAGGTGGAACCGTCACAGCAAGCGCTTGCTTTTATTAATTTAACATTTTTTTCCTATCTTCTTGGTTCTTTCGGTAAAGTCACGTAGAAGGGAAGAAATAAATTATTGTGTTTTATTTTATTATTTATTTATTACTTCCCTTCTACGTGACTTTACCGAAAGAACCAAGAAGATGAATCCCTGCAGTCACGAAAGAAGCTTTAAATCGAAATAAAAATCACGACGTTTCGGAGGCAAACACAAGCTTCCGTCTTCAGGTGGAACCGTCACAGCAGGCGCTTGCTTTATTAATTTTACATTTTTTTCCTATCTTCTTGGTTCTTTCGGTAAAGTCACGTAGAAGGGAAGTAATAAATTATTGTGTTTTATTTTTATTATTTTATTTATTACTTCCCTTCTACGTGACTTTACCGAAAGAACCAAGAAGATGAATCCCTGCAGTCACGAAAGCTTTACATCGAAATCTACGTGACTTTGCCGAAAAAACCTAACAATATGAATACTTGCAGTCAACGAAAGCTTCAAATCTAGAGTCCCAAGTGCTCTCTGTTGCGCGCGGTTTCGCGCGGTTGCTCTCGTGACGGGCGCACGTACAACGGGAAGACACTGGGGCTGTACAATTATTTTTTAATCATCTCGGTGGAAAACTAATTTCTTTACACGTTTAATACAACAGGTCCCTGCGGGGTGGGCTGGTAGGAACGAACAACCAAAGAATATAAACATAATGTAACGTTACACTTGTTTAGCCAGGAAAGCCTCACTGAGTCTAAAGGTTTTTGTAGGGTCCTGCCAAGTGTTTGCAGTAGGGGGCGATGTTGCTACACCTAATCGGACGATACGAAGGGAGAGTTTGAGGCCTAGTTCTAGGCTTCAGGCCTAGCTGTAGGCTTTAGGCCGCTGTGAGTTAATTTTTAATTTAAATGTTTTAATTATTTATGTAAAAGCTTTAGATTTAAATGTTTCTATTTAAAAACATGAGGGAATGTAACATTGTTAAACATTAACTCCCTTTCACACACGCGGGGGTACGATACGAAGGGAGAGTTTGAGGACTAGTCTAGGCTTTAGGCCGAGCTGTAGGCTTTAGGCCGCTGTGAGTTAATTTTTAATTGAAATGTTTTAATTAAAAACTATCTCAGGGAATTATAAGGGAATGTTACACTTGTTTAGCCAGGAAAGCCTCACTGAGTCTAAAGGTTTTTGTAGGGTCATGCCAAAGTGTTTGCAGTAGGGGGCGATGTTGCTACACGGACGGACAGACGGACGGACGATACAATCTATTGTAGGCTGGTTCACTTCGCTCCTACCAGTAAAATATCAGTTCAACACGTACGTAGTAGGAGGCTTTCGCGACCGATATCATCCGTAAGAGGTTTTTAGGTGAGATCGCGTAAATATTAAAACCCTCCACCACCCGGCACGGCCAACTAGTGAGGGTTGTCACGTAAACACAACGTGACAATTCGTCACTAGCAGCACTAGTGTGTAGTGTATAGTGTAGTGTGTAGTGTATAGTGTAGTGTATAGTGTAGTGTGTAGTGTATAGTGTGTAGTGTAGTGTATAGTGTAGTGTGTAGTAGTGTGTAGTGTATAGTGTAGTGTATAGTGTAGTGTATAGTGTAGTGTGTAGTGTAGTGCAGTGTATAGTGTAGTGTATAGTGTAGTGTATAGTGTAGTGTGTAGTGTAGTGTATAGTGTAGTGTGTAGTGTAGTGTGTAGTGTAGTGTATAGTGTAGTGTATAGTGTAGTGTATAGTATTGTATAGTGTAGTGTATAGTGTAGTGTATAGTGGAGTGTATAGTGTAGTGTATAGTGTAGTGTATAGTGTAGTGTGTAGTGTATAGTGTAGTGTATAGTGTAGTGTATAGTAGTGTATAGTGTAGTGTAGTGTGTAGTAGTGTATAGTGTAGTGTATAGTGTAGTGTGTAGTGTAGTGTAGTGTGTAGTGCGTATAGTAGTGTGTAGTATAGTAGTGTATAGTGTAGTGTATAGTGTAGTGTATAGTGTAGTGTATAGTAGTGTAGTATACAGTAGTGTAGTGTATAGTGTAGTGTATAGTAGTGTATAGTGTGGTGTATAGTGTAGTGTATAGTGTAGTGTACTAGTACAGCACTAGTGTATAGTGTAGTGTATAGTGTAGTGTATAGTGTAGTGTATAGTAGTGTAGTGGCATAGTAGTGTATAGTGTAGTGTATAGTGTAGTGTATAGTGTAGTGTAGAGTGTAGTGTATAGTGTAGTGTATAGTGTAGTGTATAGTAGTGTATAGTGTAGTGTATAGTGTAGTGTATAGTAGTGTATGTGTAGTGTATAGTGTAGTGTATAGTAGTATATAGTGTAGTGTATAGTAGTGTATAGTGTAGTGTATAGTGTAGTGTATAGTAGTGTATAGTAGTGTATAGTGTAGTGTATAGTGTAGTGTATAGTAGTGTATAGTGTAGTGTATAGTGTATAGTGTAGTGTGTATAGTAGTGTATAGTGTAGTGGCATAGTAGTGTATAGTGTAGTGTATAGTGTATAGTGTAGTGTATAGTGTAGTGTGTAGTGTATAGTGTAGTGTATAGTGTAGTGTATAGTGTGTAGTGTATAGTGTAGTGTGTAGTGTAGTGTATAGTGTATAGTAGTGTATAGTGTAGTGTATAGTAGTGTAGTGTATAGTGTAGTGTATAGTGTAGTGTATAGTGTAGTGTATAGTGTATAGTAGTGTATAGTGTAGTGTATAGTCTAGTGTATAGTGTAGTGTGTATAGTAGTGTATAGTAGTGTAGTGTATAGTAGTGTATAGTGTAGTGTATAGTGTAGTGTATAGTAGTGTAGTGGCATAGTAGTGTATAATGTAGTGTATAGTGTAGTGTATAGTGTAGTGGCATAGTAGTGTATAGTGCAGTGTATAGTGTAGTGTACAGTAGTGTATAGTGTAGTGTTAGTGTAGTGTATAGTGTAGTGTATAGTAGTAGTGTATAGTGTAGTGTATAGTAGTGTATAGTGTAGTGTATAGTGTATAGTAGTGTATAGTGTAGTGTATAGTAGTGTATAGTGTAGTGTATAGTGTATAGTAGTGTAGTGTATAGTAGTATAGTGTATAGTGTATAGTGTAGTGTATAGTAGTGTATAATGTAGTGTATAGTAGTGTATAGTGTAGTGTATAGTGTAGTGTGTAGTAGTGTATAGTGTAGTGTATAGTATTGTATAGTGTAGTGTATAGTGTAGTGTAGTAGTAGTGTATAGTGTAGTGTATAGTGTAGTGTATAGTGTAGTGTATAGTGTAGTGTACTAGTACAGCACTAACCGGTGTGTTGGAGAGCAAAGCCACAACATTTACAATCCGAGTTCGACGCGCTCTGTGCGCTACGGTACGAAAGAAGTTCAACGTACAATTCGCAGAGACCCACAACACCCAGACCCAGAGACCCGCAGAGACCCACAGAGACCCACAGAGACCCACAGAGCCCACAGAGACACTCACAGAGACCCACATAGACCCGCAGAGACCCACAGAGACCCACAGAGACACTCACAGAGACCCACAGAGACCCACAGAGAGCCGCAGAGACCCACAGAGACACTCACAGAGACCCACAGAGACACTCACAGAGACCCACATAGACCCGCAGGCACAGAGACCCACAGAGACCCAAAGAGAACCACAGAGACCCACAGGCACAGAGACACTCACAGAGACCCACAGAGACCCACAGAGAACCGCAGAGACCCGCAGGCACAGAGACACTCACAGAGACCCACAGAGACCCACAGAGACACTCACAGAGACACTCACAGAGACCCACAGAGACACTCACAGAGACCCACAGAGACCCACAGAGACCCGCAGAGACCCACAGAGACACTCACAGAGACCCACACGTGCGTGTGCGTGTGCGTGCGTGCGTGTGCGTGAGTGTGCGTGAGTGTGCGTGCGTGTACGTGCGTGTGCGTGCGTGTGCGTGCGTGTATGTGAGTGTGCGTGCGTGTGCGTGAGTGTGCGTGCGTGTATGTGCGTGTACGTGCGTGTACGTGCGTGTACGTGCGTGTGCGTGAGTGTGCGTGCGTGTGCGTGCGTGTATGTGAGTGTGCGTGCGTGTGCGTGAGTGTGCGTGCGTATGTGCGTGTACGTGCGTGTGCGTGCGTGTGCGTGCGTGTACGTGGTGTACGTGCGTGTACGTGCGTGTGCGTGAGTGTGCGTGCGTGCGCGTGCGTGTGCGTGCGTGTACGTGCGTGTACGTGCGTGTACGTGCGTGTACGTGAGTGTGCGTGCGTGTGCGTGAGTGTGCGTGCGTGTACGTGAGTGTGCGTGCGTGTGCGTGCGTGTACGTGCGTGTACGTGCGTGTGCGTGCGTGTGCGTGCGTGTACGTGAGTGTGTGTGCGTGAGTGTACGTGCGTGTACGTGCGTGTGCGTGCGTGTGCGTGAGTGTACGTGCGTGTGTGCGTGAGTGTGCGTGAGTGTACGTGCGTGTACGTGCGTGTGCGTGCGTGTGCGTGTACGTGCGTGTACGTGCGTGTGCGTGCGTGGCGTGTACGTGCGTGTACGTGCGTGTGCGTGCGTGTGCGTGCGTGTACGTGCGTGTACGTGCGTGTGCGTGCGTGTACGTGCGTGTGCGTGCGTGTGCGTGTACGTGCGTGTACGTGCGTGTACGTGTACGTGCGTAACATGCGTGTACGTGCGTGTACGTGCGCGCGCGTGTGTACGTGCGTGTACGTGCGTGTGTGCGTGCGTGCGTACATTACGTGCGTGCGTATACATGCGTGCGTGTACGTGCGTGCGTGCACGTGTGTCTGCGTGCGTACGTGTACGTGCGTGTACGTGCGTGCACGTGCGTGCGTGTACGTGGTGCGTGTACGTGCGTGTACGTGCGTGCACGTGCGTGCGTGTACGTGCGTGTACGTGCGTGCGTACGTGTACGTGCGTGTGCGTGCGTGTGCGTGCGTGTACGTGCGTGTACGTGCGTGTACGTGCGTGTACGTGCGTGTACGTGTACGTGCGTATACATGCGTGTACGTGCGTGTACGTGCGTGTACGTGCGTGTACGTGTACGTGCGTATACATGCGTGTACGTGCGTGTACGTGCGTGTGACGTGCGTGTAGGTGCGTGTGCGTGCGTGCGTACGTGTACGTGCGTGCGTATACATGTGCATGTACGTGCGTGCACGTGTGTCTGCGTGCGTACGTGTACGTGCGTGCGTGTACGTGCGTGCGTGTACGTGCGTGCACGTGTGTCTGCGTGCGTACGTGTACGTGCGTGCGTATACATGCGTGCGTGTACGTGCGTGCGTGCACGTGTGTCTGCGTGCGTACGTGTACGTGCGTGCGTGTACGTGCGTGTGCGTGCGTGTACGTGCGTGCGTGTACGTGCGTGTACGTACGTGCGTGTACGTGCGTGCGTGTACGTGCGTGCGTGTACGTGCGTGTACGTGCGTGCGTGCGTGTACGGCGTGTACGTGCGTGTACGTACGTGCGTGTACGTGCATGCGTGTACGTGCGTGTACGTGCGTGCGTGTACGTGCGTGTGCGTGCGTGTACGTGCGTGTACGTACGTGCGCGTGCGTGTACGTGCGTGCGTGTACGTGCGTGTACGTGCGTGTACGTGCGTGTACGTGCGTGCGTGTACGTGCGTGTACGCGCGTACGTGTACGTGCGTGTACGTGCGTGCGTGCACGCACGTATACGTGCGTGCGCGTGCGTGCGTGTGCGTACGTGTACGTGCGTGTACGTGCGTGCGTGTACGTGCGTGTACGTGCGTGTACGTGCGTGTGCGTGCGTGTGCGTGCGTGTACGTGCGTGTACGTGCGTGCGCGTGCGTGTGCGTGCGTGTGCGTGCGTGTACGTGCGTGCGTGTGCGTGCGTGTGCGTGCGTGTGCGTGCGTGTACGTGCGTGTATGCGTGCGCGTGCGTGCGTGTGCGTGCGTGTACGTGCGTGTACGTGCGTGTGCGTGTGCGTGAACGTGCGTGCGCGTGCGTGCGTGCGCGTGCGTGTACGTGCGTGTACGTGCGTGTGCGTGTGCGTGAACGTGCGTGCGCGTGCGTGCGTGTACGTGCGTGCGGTGTGTGCGTGCGTGCGCGTGTGTGCGTGCGTGTACGTGCGTGCGTGCGTGTACGTGCGTGCACGTACGTGCGTGTACGTGCGTGCGTGCGCGTGCGTGTACGTGCGTGCGTGCACGTGCGAGCGTGCGCGTGCGTGTACGTGCGTGCGTGTACGTGCGTGTACGTGCGTGTACGTGTACGTGCGTGCACGCGTGCGTGCGGTGTGTACGTGCGGTGTGTGCGTGCGCTCGTCACCCAGCACGATGAGCTTGACGGACACCTGCTGGATGAAAGCGCCGAACTTGACTTTGCACGTGTAGAAGCCGTAGTCTCGCGTCTGCACCCCGACGATCTCCAGCGACGCGTCCCGCCGCGTCACGTTGCGGGCGAAGCGCATGCGGGACGCGTACTCCGGGTAGACGTGCTCCACGCCCCTGACGTACGTGGCCAACGGGGATAGGGGGACGGACAACAAGTAACCCGTAAACACAAAGTTGTTCACTATAAATCCTTTATATGCGTGGCGTCGGCTAGAGTCCTCTCGTCCTCTGGCTTGAGATGGCTGCCACCTATGGGTCAGGTGATTGTCTGCCACCATTAAGCAATTGGTAATTACATATTTAATTTGTTTTCCCTAAACAGTGTAAAATTTTTGATACATTTTTCACGAACATTAATTGTCACGCACAACAAGTCTGTGTAGCAAAATGTCAGCTCGATTGGATCACGGGAAGTGGGTTAAAAAACGACCGAAAGATTTGCACGACGTGTCCGAGAGAGAGAGAGAGAACGCGTCCAGCGCGGAGACGGAGCCGCGAGACTTTGTGTCGTCAAGGTGCGGAACGGGTCGTTGTTGTTGTTGTCGTTGTGGTCGCACTGCACGATTGAGAGAGGTGGTGGTGGTGGTGGTGGTGGCGGCGGTGGTGGCGGTGATGGTGGTGATGGGGTGGCGGTGGTGGCGGTGATGGGCGGCGGTGGTGGTAGTGGTGGCGGTGGTGGCGGCGGGGTGGTGGCGGCGGTGGTGGTGGTGGCGGCGGTGGTAGCGGTGGCGGTGGCGGCGGTGGTGGTGGGTGGCGGTGGCAGCGGTGGCGGTGGTGGCGGTGGTGGCGGCGGCTTTCATCCAGCAGTGACACAAGCAGCTCAGCACATTCTCTGCGTGTGCGATGGGTTCTCTGTCTCTCTCTCACTCACATGGATGTTGGTGGTGGGCATCTGCATGAACCACTCCACGTCCAGGTGTTCAGTGGGCGCCGGATCGACCGTCCAGGTGCAGCCCAGCAGCACCGTCTCGCCCTCCGCTTTCTCTACCCACGAGACGGCTGCCAAGGGGAGGGGGGGTGGTGGTGACACGGTTGTGAAGTAATGTCTTCAAGAGTCACGTAAATGTTTTTGTGTTTCTCTGTTAGCGCCACAAACACGTCGGAGTTGTGGTAGATTTACCCGCACAGGCTCACTCAGAGAAGCATAGACTCACACAGAGACCCGTAGACTCACACAGAGACCCTAAACTCACACAGAGACCCACAGACTCCACAGAGACCCCTAGACTCACACATGTACCCATTGACTCACTCAGAGAAGCATAGACTCACACAGTGACCCGTAGACTCACACAGAGACCCACAGACTCACACGACCCACAGACTCACACAGATACCCATAGATCACACAAAGACCCACAGACTCACAGAGACCCATAGACTCACACAGAGACCCATAGACTCAGAGACACACAGACTCACACTATACCCACAGACTCACACAGAGACCCATATACTCACACAGAGACCCATAGACTCACACAGAGACCCATATACTCACACAGTGACCCATATACTCACACAGTGACCCATATACTCAGAGACCCACAGACTCACACAGTGACCCATATACTCACACAGAGACCCATAGACTCACACAGAGACCCATAGACTCACACAGAGACCCATATACTCACACAGAGACCCATAGACTCACACAGAGACCCATAGACTCACATAGAGACCCACAGACTTACCAGACACCCGTAGACTCACACAGAGACCCACACACTCACACAGAGACCCATAGACTCACACAGAGACCCACAGACTCACACAGAGACCCACAAACTCACACAGAGACCCACAGACTCACACAGAGACCCCCAGACTCACACAGAGACCCACAGACTCACACAGAGACCCATAGACTCACACAGAGACCCACAGACTCACACAGAGACTCACAGACTCACACAGAGACCCACAGACTCACACAGAGACCCATAGACTCACACAGAGACCCATAGACTCACATAGAGACCCACAGACTTACACAGACACCCGTAGACTCACACAGAGACCCACACACTCACACAGAGACCCATAGACTCACACAGAGACCCACAGACTCACACAGAGACCCACAAACTCACACAGAGACCCACAGACTCACACAGAGACCCACAGACTCACACAGAGACCCACAGACTCACACAGAGACCCATAGACTCACACAGAGCCCACGACTCACACAGAGACTCACAGACTCAACAGAGACCCACAGACTCACACAGAGACCCATAGACTCACACAGAGACCCCAGACTCACACAGAGACCCACAGACTCACACAGAGACCCATACCCAGGCGCTAACCACTGCACCACCGCTCCCCGTCACCGCAGCAGCTCGTGTGCCAGGCTAGGTTCACTTTGAGACATCGAACCCCCTCACAACAGATCCGCACCGCCCCCCCCCCCCCACCACCGTTACCAACAGCGCTCGTGCCAGGCTAGGTGCACTTGGCACGGAACAAACACGGTCACACAAACACTCACACAAAAACAAAGAATAAGATGTCACGAGTCACCAGACAGACGGCCGGACTCACCGCCCGTGGCGACCTCCATCATCATCAACAACAACAACAGCAGCAACAACAACAGCAGCAACAACACAACAGCGCTCGTGCCAGGCTAGGTGCACTTGGCAACGGTAACAAACACGTCACACAAAAACAGGAAACGAGATGTCACGAGTCACCAGATAGACGCCGACTCACCGCCCGTGGCGACCTCCATCATCATCAACAACAACAACAACAGCAGCAACAACAACAGCAACAACAACAACAGCGCTCGTGCCAGGCTAGTGCACATTGGCAACGGAACAAACACGTCACACAAAAAAAAAATAAGATGACACTAGTCACCGACCAGACGCCGACTCACCCCCCGTGGCGACCTCCATCATCATCATCAACAACACAGCAACAACGACAACAGCGCAGAGCGAGACATCAACAACGCGGCCGCCATTGCTTCTTCATCTCGCGCCGTGACGTCACGGGGCGAGGGGCGGGGTTCCGTTGGATTCACCCCCACAAAGCCCCGCCCCTCGCGCCGTGACGTCACGGGCGAGGGGCGGGGTTCCGGTGGATTCACCCCCCAACCCCCTCCGCTCTGAACGCCCCTCCCCTTTCCCTCGGCAAGGTTAAAGGTCAAAAGCAAACGAGTCGACCTTTAACCCCTGTACCCTGAGCCCGTACGAATGACCAGATTGCAGGGTAACTGCTGCGGTGCCACTACTACACATGGACACGGTGTAGAACAGTTCGATTTAAAGCTTCTTTCGTGACTGCAGGGATTCATCTTCTTGGTTCTCTCGGCAAAGTCACGTAGAAGCGAAGTAATAAAATAATAAAAATAAAACATAATTATTTTATTGTTTTATTTTTATTATTTTATTACTTCCCTTCTACGTGACTTTAACGAAAGAACCAAGAAGAAGGTGTACAACAGGTGGATGCTTGCTAGAGCGCTGCATTCATGTTTTTAAATAAAAGGGAAATTTGTGAATGTGTCCGAAATGTTTAGCATATTTCGATTTAAAGCTTTTTTCGTGACTGCAGGGATTCATCTTCTTGGTTCTTTCGGTAAAGTCACGTAGAAGCGAAGTAATAAAATAATAAAAATGCAACATAATAAAATAAAATAATTCTCAGAATTATTTGATTTTATTATGTTTTATAATAAAATAATAAAAATAAAACATAATAAAATCAAATAATTCTGAGAATTATTTTATTATGTTTTATTTTTATTATTTTATTACTTCCCTTCTACGTGACTTTACCTAAAGAACCAAGAAGATGTTTAGCATACTTCCCAACATGCAACAAACTTGACATTTGGCACGTGGATAGCTTCCAGACTGTACACAATGCAAAAAGTATAAAAATAGACTTTTGTATTTTTGGGGGGGCGCAATAATGGATATATTTTGCACGGCAAGTGAGCGGTGACGTCACATTAGTGACGTCACATTAGTGACGTCACATCGGTGACGTCACATCGGTGATGTCACCCGCATGCGGCAGCGTCACGCAGTGTGCCTGATGACGTCACCCCCCCCACCTCCCCGTACGGTCGTAAGCGCGCAAGCAAGCAAGTGAACTTCATATAAAGGATTAAAAAAACTAACCCGTAGAAACAAAGTTTTTCACTCTAAATCCTTTATATGCGTGGCGGCTAGAGTCCTCTCGTCCTCTGGCTTGAGATGGCTGCCACCTATGGGTCAGATGATTGTCTGCCAGTATTAAGCAATTGGTAATTAAATATTTAAAAAAATTTCCCTAAAACAGTGTAAATTTTGGAAAAAAAAATTTTCACGAACATTAATTGTCTGTCACAACGAGTCTGTGTGCAAAATGTCAGCTCGATTGGATCACGGGAAGTGGGTTAAAAAACGACCGAAATATTTGCACGGTCCTAAGCAAGCAAGTGAACTTAATATAAAGGATTTAAAAGAGCAACAGAGCTGAGACAAATAGGGGGGGGGGGGGGGGGCAAGCGGAGCCCCTTGGAGAAACAGCGACAGTCAAGAGGGCTGCAAGGAGGAGGAGGTGCGGGGGAAGTGGCGGTGACCGAACGAGACGGCAGAGATGCGCACGAGAGAGATCGGGACTGCAGCCAGGAAAGTTGGGTGCCCAAAATGCCGAGACGGAGAGAGAGACAAGAGTAGGGGTGGTCGACCGTGTCAAAAAAAGCTGAGGGGGGGGGGGGCATGTAGAGAGCAGGGACGGTTTCTTCATTAGGGCGATTGGGCGACGCACCACCAATGTCATTCAACCACAGAGTGACGCGAGCCGTCACTGCAGCCTCTGGATATAGTCCAATCGGCGTCATGTCACGTTCTGTGGAGTAACCGCCTCTTTTTGGGCGATTTCACTCCGGCTGAGAATCGCCCCGAGTGTTCCCATAGACTTACATTCAAGATGTTTTTTTTCGAACGGCGGGCGCTGCAATGCATTCTCTACGGCTTCCGGGAGGGCAAGCCCTAACGTGCTTACGTCATCATACGTAAGCACGTTTCATCTAACAATATAATTTGTCGCCACCTAGTGGAATCTTTAATAAAATAAACTTGAGTGGATTGTAATAATAGTGAGTA